GAACTATAAAATTTATTTTATAGAGGAAAGTCCCTCACTTAATAAACAAACTTCACAGTATGCTATAAACTTATCTTTTTTTGAATTTTACTGTCAGTTTATTATTATTGCTATTATTTTTTTTTGACAGTTAGTTACTTTGATTGGTTATTTACCAATCAAAGTAACTAACTGTCAATAATAAGTTATTTTGTAATAAATATATTGGTTCATTATGTAAATTTTTTTCCATTATTATTTCTCTGTAAAGACTTCTATTTTTTAATATTTATTTCAGAGTTTTATTATTGTAAAATAATCTTTTGAAAATGTAAATAAATTTTACGAAGCATGTCAAGAATAAAAAACATTGTGTTATTTTTAAAAATAGTTACTTATTTTATGCTATTACGACGATCACAAGATATATATATATATATATATATATATATATATATATATATATATATATATATATATATATATATATATATATATATATATATATATATATATATATATATATATATATATATATATATATATATATATATATATATATATATATATATATATATATATATACATTTTGGAGATAAGCAATAATGTTTTGAGTTTTATTTTTAGTAAAATACAGAAAAAGAGAGTTTTAAAAGGAAAACATTGCAAAGAGAATAAATAATTACACAACCAAACAGCTACCAAAAAACTGTACCAAAGACAATATAAAAATTACTCAACTATAATTATAAGCTTAAACTTTATTAATTTTTCCTTTTTTTTGACGATCCCGAAATCCCAGGAAATTTGGGAGACTAATCCTGGGATTTTGGGATGAACAGATTGTACGAAATCCCAGGATTTTAGGATCCCAGGATTGCCATCCCTACTTCTGATAAACTTTTTGCATTTAGAAAACATATTTTCAATAGAATTTAAAAAGGGAGGTAAAAACTTTAAAGAGTGCCCAGCATGTACTGTTTCATCTTGAACAACAGCAGCCTTATGAAAATGAACATTGTCTAAAATTAAGATAGCTCCAACAACTTCATTAACAGCTAATTGTGTTAATATTAGACAAATAAAATATAAAAAAAGCTTTCTGTATTAAATCCTCTTGTTTGTGCTTAATATTTCAAAATTCCGTTTTTGTTCATGGCACAACAGGCAGAAATATTTCATGACTGTATATTGGTCACTCTGTGTGGCCCTCTTTCTCACTAAAGAACCTCTTCTTCCAATTCGTATTGAAAGACTAAATCCTACTTCATCAATAAAGAACATTTTATTGTCATTCGTAGAATGACAATAATGTCATTCATAAATCTTTCTGCATAAGTAGCTCTTTCATTAATAACATCTTCAGATTTTCTTCTCTCTGGAATATTGTGAACATGTTTAAATTAAAACTATCAATGTATCTTGCTATAGATGCATTGGTAGAATTAAAAAAACTGCCACATTTTTTTATTGTCCCGATTAAGCTTATTATTATTTAACAAAAATTTTCATCATAAATATGAAAATTTTAATTCAAAATATAGTATTTTTCAATTGTTAAAATGTGATGTAACAGTGTCAAAATGTAGTGATACAATGTTAAAATGAGGTAAGAAACCCTGTTATACAGTTGATACGTCTAAGAATTGCAGAGTTTTCACTAAATTTTACTCAATTTTAGTTTATCTCATTAATGAAATTTGTTTAAAATATATTGAAGCTTTATGTAATAAAATGTTTTGGTCCTTTAGACACAAAAATTTCATTTGGCTTTTTTTAAAATGAATAATAAAATTTCGTCGCTATTTTATATGTTCACCACTTTGAGCATGTTTTTTTTTTTACACTAGGGCAGGGTAGTTCTCTTTTTTCTAAATTATGTAATGACGAATGCTCAGGGAGCATTTATTTTCATGTAAATGAAATAAATAATGCAAGATTGTTTTTGTCTTGGCGATTTCCAATTAAAGTTTGAGTGTTATTTTTTTAATTTTAAAAGTAAGAAGTCTTATATTATGCAGAACAAGTAATCAAGTGACTAGTATTTTTTGTGAAAGACTCAGTTTTTTATGAAAACTAAGGTATAAAAAAATTAGGTATTATAACTATACCTTAATTATAAATTAAGATATAGTTTAAAATGTTTTTTTTTACCCCTTGCAGAAGTAAATAAAACCATTAATCAGTTTTTAATGAAAAATAATCACTTAACTAATATTTTTTTTTTACCTATGATTTTATCATAGGTAAAAAGTTTTAATATGATTAATTGATGTTACATTTTATACACAAAAAAGATTGTTATTTTATTTTCTGTTATTTTTGATATTTTTATTTGATATTTCTAAACTTTTGTGTTGTTTATGTTGAAGATTCAGGTTTTGTTAAAATATTTTAAAATTGATACTAAGTGGTAGCCACATTTGTTTTCACTTTTTTTGAAATATGATGTCCTACCATATTCTTTTATTTGTTGCTATTGTTACTTTTTTCTGATGTATTTTCATTATTCTGATGTGTTGAATTAAATCAAATGTTGAGTCTAGTAAGCAACCAGGGTTAAAATTTGACCGGGGCCAAGTTTGATAAAAAATAGTCGGGGCCGGGTTTATGACCAGGTATGCATTAACAGTGATAAGTCCGAAAGTATTTTTTTATATTTTATATTCAAACTTTATGTTATTTTATATATATATATGCATGTGTTTTATGTAAACGTCATCATGATCAATGTGATCATCATAATCATCACCCTCATCATCATTATTTATCATAATTATCATCATCATCAAGCTTTAGCCTTCATCTTCTATCCTGTTTTTCTAATATACTATCTCAAGCATCTTCTTTCTTCAACTAAAACTCAAACAATAAGTAACGCACTCTTTCCAAGTTTTCTAACCTCTACCATTCTCCTGAAGCTGCTACCTCTTTACATGGTGATCTCAAATTACTTTAATCTTCTCTCACAAACGTTGTTCAATATTTTTTCTAATCTCTGCCTAAGATTATGACTCGTTTTCTTGTCTTGTTTAATACTAAAACATCTGAATGAATATTGATTATTACATTGGTATTTTTAATTTTTCTAAGCCTAATCATCATATTCTCATTTGATGGTTGATAACACAGTGTCAATATCGGCATTAAAATCAATGTTATTTTCATCACTATTTACAACAAAATAATATATTTGGGTGAATTTTGGTTACCAAAAAAAGATTAAATATCATGAAGTAATTAGTCACCATGACAATAAACATATCTTAAAACGATTGGTTATTATGAAAAGGTTGATTATCATAAAGAGATTTTACCATAAAAAAACAGTTGTCATAAAGATATTGGTCACCATTAAAAGATTAGTAATTATAAAGAGATTTTCTTTGATATTTTTTAACTATTTAGTTTATTTTCAAACTAAAAACTATTTTGTTTATTCTTCAATAGTTTTCTTCAATAAGTTCTTTAATAGTTTATTATTCTTCAATAATAATATCACACATCCGTCTGATCATCGTCTTCTCTTTGGGCAATTACTATACCATATAAATACTAAAGTTATGTATGCATAAATGTGCATCTTACCTCCTGAGTATTAACCTCTTGAATCCAAGAAGCTATGGAATTTTTTATTCCCTTTCAGTTTCAAGTCAAGCCTCATTCTACTCAACATTTTTCACCATTTTGATCACTTGCTTTATTAAACCATCATCATTTTTTGATCTTTTTACAAGAACATCTCTTTTAAGAACAAATGTCCTTTCATTAATGCAAGAAGCCAATGTAAAAAGGTCTTGTCTGATGTTAACCTATGTTATTCTCAGTTTACTGTATTTATCTTTTATCTCAGGTGTTAGGTTCTAAAGACTTTTAGAAAATCTTCAACAGTTACTTAAAGTAAGTCTAATATTTAATCTTTAACTCTGATTTGCAAAGAACTTTTTGCTTCTAATTTGACTCTTAAATAACTCTTTTGACTCGGAATGAAAAGTATGACATGTTTAAGTACATGGAAAAGTATGACCATTAAATAATGGTCATACAATTCCTGCTATTTCGGTTAAACAGTTTAATAATTAACCCATCGTTAGTCATCCAAATCATTCAGGCTTCCAATGCTAAAACTAATTTTCAATTAAACTCTTCTACAGCTTCAGACTTTCTATCAAAGTTATACATTATCTATTGATATGTGCTAAAGAAGTTATTTCAATTTTTAAAAACTCTAGAAAACACTCTAAATTCTCTAACTATCCTACAATTAGTTTTCACTTTACAATTAGTTTTCTTATCTACAATAACAATTTTCCTAAAAATCTTACATCTAAAGTGGCTCTATTTGCTGACAACTCGACTTTATACTCTTTTCTTGACAAACGGTATTCACTTTTTAATCGCTTAGAACAAGCAGCCAAAACAAGCAGTTAAACCGGCTTTATTTGTCAAGCCCTCTCCCTTTTTTCTACAAATAGCATCATGGTAACTACTCAAACGAGCTATCAGCTCTAGTTCGATCAACCTAAGCTCATTGTTGCTTGGCTTCTTAGTCAGAGTCGCATCATTTTACTGTATCTGTCCCTTCATGCTATAAAAACTTTTATTAATCCAGTTTTTTTCCTTGCGCAATCAACAAAAAAACTCTTACCTATTTTTATATTTTCCTAACACATACAACCTACAACTTTTTAGTCTTCAGTTCACCATTTTCTTACTCTTTAACCTTATCCTCTATTTTCTAGTAACTCATAACCTATTAGTGGTTGCTGGCAACTTTGTTGGAGGTGAATGAGTTTAAATATATATAAATATATGGCAGTATTTGATAAATAGTAAATGTATGCATAAATTTACAATATATAAAGTATTATAATTTTTTTTCTACCCTCGGCTATTAACCCCTTAAAATTTTTCCAAGGCCGGGTTTGCAAAAAATTATCATTTTTTGCCGTGGCTGAGGCCACTCACTAGTTAAGTCTAAAAAATCAAAAGTTTTGAAATTACATTAACTTTATTTTTAGTTTGTACATGTTGCTGGAAAAGTAGTCACTCACAATGTTTGCTTAAAGGTACAAGAGTGGTTAACAGCAAACAGTGAGTATTCTTTTAGCTTTAATTAGCAATATAAAATCGTATGTAATTTAGTGTGAGAGAGTTTTTAGAATATTTTAAGTATTTTTTTTTATAGGACAAATATATTTACATGGTGTAGAAATACTTTATAATCGCTATTTAAAAAACCTCATCAAGAATAGCACACAGCAGTACAACAGTTCTCTATTCAATGATTTTTCTACTGGCTCAGATAGTTCTTTTGTTTGCTAGTTTTTATTTTGAGCTATTGTTTTAGGTTTTTATTCAAAATATTAGATAGTAAATTAATTAATATTCTGAAAATTAAATAGTATATTAATTCAATTCTACTATTAATAAGAATAATTTTAGTTCCACTAATTTTTTTAAGTTAAATATTATTTTTAATCTTTCTGTTTTTTGTTTTTTTTTTGGTCCAGTTTTTTAACTTTCTGGTTTGCCTAGCCCTGTTTTTGAAATCTTTATTATAATGTTATGAAGAGTTTTAAAGCTATTTTATGCATTTTTTACTTGGCAAAACTTTATTTGAATCTTCTTTTTTTTTTTTTTAATGTTATTATTTTGCCGTATATTTTTAGTATTTATTCTCAATTTATAAATTTCTTTAATGGTCTTGAGTTCGTTTTACAATAAAGATTTCTTTAATGGTTTTAATGTTTGTTTTACAGTTAAAATTTCTATACATTCTTATATATTTTTCATTAGTAGATGTAAAAAATAAAATATTTAATTAATACCTAATATATTTAAATCAGTAGCGTAGTGACAAAAGACGGGCATCCCCGCTAAGCTTCACTATTGGCTCCTTTCTTCTCTGCCTGCCCCCCACTTTCTTGACCAAAAATATATACATGAAAACAAAAGCCTTATTCCTAAACACAATTTTGACATAAAAACCAGTAATCGTAGTATAATAAAAATCTAATGTTTTTTTCTTTCCTTCATAGACGCAAACTGGTCTATATCTTATAAATTTAATTAAGCTGCTGATTCTGCTTCAATAGCTTAAAGGCTTAACACCTGTTTCACCTCGTATATTTTTATACTCCCTTTCCTTCCCCCCTCTCTCTATGTGGTTTTAACCCCCCTTTCTCTACCTCCAGCCCCCTCTTATATGTTTCATATTCTCAGTGGTCCACCCTCTCCCATGGTTATCTTTATATTAACAGGCCGTGTAAACAAAAAAATTATGCGATATACTGGGGGCTCGTTAAGCAGAAGTTAAAGCAAGAAGTTGAGTACCAGTAGCGTCGCTAGCGGGGTGCGGGGGGTGCGAGCCAACAAAACAAAGTAGTTAATTTTGAGCATCTTAAAAATAAGGTTGAAACTGGCAGTCTTGACTTTTTGATCCACTCTATTTGGTACTTCACCTACAATACATTATGCATACATGATTCAACTGATTTTAAAGAAAATACATATCAATACCTAGAGTTTTGATAAAAATTAAAAATGATTTGACTTTTGAAGGATTTTTTTGTGGTATAAGGTATTCCACATTTACACGATCCAAAATTTATCAAAAAACGAAGTAACCAAGTTTAAATCATATTTACAACTTAAAGAATGTTGGACCTTAATACTTTAATAAATAGCAATAAAATTAATCTAATTCAGCAACATTTTAATGCAATGAGTCCTAATATCATTGGGAAAAAAAAAGTATAATCCTGAAAAAATTATTTGTGGTTTTGAGTATTATACTTTATCTAGATATATATGACAGACTGAGACTAGACTACCAGCTTTCAAGAATTTCACTTCTTATTAGAGCGCGACGGTTATTCGTTTATCAAATATCGATGTACGAATAATCGCTAGAGAATACTCGATTAAATTATTCGTTAAACAATATTCGTAAAAACTAATTGTTTAAATTATTCGTAGGATACGAATATATTCGTAAACCAATTTTTGTTTAATAAATAATAACCGTTTAACAAATATTTATTCGTCGAACAAACGGGCTCAACGTTGGAATAGCTTGAATAGAGAGACTACCATTTGATTGTCGACGTATGTATTGAAGCAAAAAAACATATAAACATTTAAATACATATCTTCTTATAAATCAATTCAGCATCCTTGTAAATCATTATGGCTTTGACTCTTCAAGAAATAAAGAAAATGTTTAAAGAAATGTTCTGTGAATTTAAAAAAGAAATGTTTAATGAGTTTAAAAAAGAAACCGAAGCTATGTTTAAAAAACACGAACAAACAGTTCTAGACATAATCAGTGGAAATCTGAAAATTTTAAACGAAAGATTGGACAAGCTTGAGACCAATGCTAATGAAAATGTAATAAAAATCAAAAAAATTGAAAAAGAAATTGAAGAAATAAGCGATAGCATAAACTTTAACGAAAGCATTATTGATAAAAAAATCGAATACAATAGCCAACAACTAGAAAAGGAATTAATCGAAAACGAAATTTAAAAAAAAAAACATCGAAAACTTGAAGATCGTTCACGTAGAAATAATCTACGAATAGATGGATTATACGAAGACGAAAAAGAAACCTGGGGACAAACAGAAGAAAAAGTCCACTTATTTTTCAAACAAAAACTTGGTGTTGAAGACATTGAAATTGAGCGTGCCCATCGCACTGGACAAAAGAAAAATGGAAAACCTCGGACAATAGTCCTCAACCTTCAACGATATAAAGATAAAGTAAAAATACTGAAAGAACTACAACGAATAAAAGGAACAAACATTTTCGTTAACGAAGACTTTTCACTCGAAACCGTTGCCATCAGGAAAAAATTGTTTACTGACGTAAAACAAAGACGTTTAAACGGAGAGAATGTTGCGGTTCGGTATGATAAAATTATTTGTTTTAAAAATTCTTTTTATGATAACAATAGAAAAAAGTAAACTAATTCACACTCTTAAAAAGAACTCTTTTAAACATTTATAAAACAATCATGGCTGCATTAAATAATTTTGAATCTCTCGCGTTTAATTTTTTCGAAAAAGGATTTTTTTCCCAGGACGAAAACTCAGATCCCGACAATAATTTTTATTGTGAGACTTTTTCAGATTGTTCGTATATTTTTCCAAGCGAACTAGAAGAGTATCTTTTTAAGAATGTTATTGACAAAAATTCGAATCAAATTAGAATTCTCCACCTCAATATAAGAAGTCTAAATAGTAACTTTGAAAAACTTTGAAATCTAATAGAAGAAACGAAAAACCTTTTTAATATAATATGTTTAACAGAAACGTGGATTACATCAAAAGATCTAAATAGTCATTTTCAAATTCCGCATTTTAATATTATTTCTTTGGAGAGACAAATAAATAAACGAGGTGGTGGAGTACTAATTTATGCGCACGAAACACTTAGGTTTGTTTTTAGAGGCAATTTGAGCATTTCTGATAGCGACAAAGAAGTCTTAACAATTGAAATTGAAAACAACCAAACAAAAAACTTATTAGTTAGCTGTTGTTATCGGCCACCTGCTGGCATGAGTGAAAACCTTAGCATGTTTTTGCTTAACGTCATTAAAAAAGGCGATACCGAAAAGAAAAAAAAATATTTTGCTTGGGGATTTTAATATGAATTGCTTTCTTTATAACAATGACTATAAAGTAAAAAGTTTTTATGACACATTTTTTGAAACAGGATCAATCCCCCTCATTAATCGCCCTACCAGAGTAACTATAAACTCAGCGACTTTAATCGATAATATTATTTCAACTGATATTTTTAATAAGGGTATAAAAAAAGGTATATTAAAAACTGATATAACGGACCATTTTCCCATTTTTGTAACAATTGATACATATACAGCAAAAAACATTGACAACAAAAAAGTATTGAAGAAACGTATCATTAATCAAAATAACCTTAATTTATTCAAAGACCAACTATCCTTACTCCATTGGAATAATATTAACATAAACAATAATGCAAACGACATATATGAAACTTTCTTCAAAACTTTCTATTCTGTATACGACGCTAACTTTCCCGTAGTTGAAATAATAGCAAAACCAAAGAGTTTGAATTCTCCTTGGATTACCAAGGGGTTTATAAAATCTTCCAAAATCAAACAAAAGTTATACATAAATTTTCTAAAAACAAAAACAACTGCAAACGAAAAAATTTACAAAAACTATAAATATTTATTTGAGAAAATTCGTAAAAACTTAAAAAAAAAATATTACTCGGAATTACTTAACAAATTCAAATATAACACCAAGCGCACTTGGGAAATAATGAAGGAAATTATAGGAAAACAAAAATCATGCTTTGGTTTTCTCCCACAAATGATTAAAATAGAAAACACTAGCATATTTGGACCAAACGCTATATCACATGAATTTAATAAATTTTTTACTGAAATAGGTCCTAAACTATCAAATAAGATTCCTATCACAAGAACTTTGTTTAGTGACTTTTTATTATCCTTGGAGAAGTGCATACGCTCTGATGAGCTATCCTCTGATTTATCAATTGAAAAACTTGAAAAGGCGCTCAAATCTATTAAAAAGAATAAATCATGTGGACCAGACGAAATAGATGGAAATGTGATAATAGATTGCTTTAAGCAACTAAAAGATGTTCTTTTCAAAGTTTTCAATGCCTCAATTAAACAAGGAATCTTTCCAGAACAATTAAAAATTGCCAAAGTTACACCTATTTATAAAGATGGTGACCAATCCCAAATAACTAATTATCGCCCCATCTCTGTGCTCTCTGTATTTTCAAAAATCTTAGAAAGAATTATGTACAACAGAATATATAAACACTTTGACAAAAATAACCTACTCTATGTTAATCAATTTGGTTTTAAAAAGGATAGCTCAACAGAGCATGCAATTATCCAACTTGTAAATGAAATTTCAAAATCGTTTGAACAATCAAAATATACATTAGGTATTTTTATCGACCTATCGAAGGCCTTCGATACGGTTGACCATCACATCCTACTCAAAAAACTGGAATACTATGGAGTAAATAACCAAGCGTTAAGGTGGTTTAGAAGTTACTTAACAAATAGAAAACAATTTGTTGTTGGTAATGACAACTATCACAACAATTGTTTAAGTTTAACCTGTGGAGTTCCACAAGGTTCAATCCTCGGACTTCTCTTTTTTTTAATTTATATAAACGATTTAAATAAAGCAACTAATCTAATGAGCATCATGTTTGCTGATGATACTAATTTATTCATCTCTAAGAGCGATATTGGCGAACTTTTTGTCACAGTGAATAAAGAACTTAAAGTTTTATCCCACTGGTTCAAGTCCAACAAATTAACTTTAAATACTGACAAAACTAAATGGACTCTTTTTCATTCG